AATGTGAATAGAAGAAAAAAATATGACAATATAATAATAAATGCTGTCAGGGTTCTTGGCTGATGACAAAAGAAGAATGAACACTTACTGATGTGGGTTGCTGTTTAGTCCTCAAGTATGGCTATGCCAGTAATATATTTTTATTACACCAGTAATATTAGTGTTGTTTTATTTATTGCATAGGAGAAAGCTGCTTATAAAAATCCTCTGTGTGAGCCAAAATGTTCCAATTTGTGTGCTTCAGGCACTATATAAAACGACTTGGTGTTATTTTCGGAGAGAGCTGGTTTATTCTTTTTTTATTTACGGTTATTTACTAAATTAAGAAATCCAAGTGAATTCAAAGCGAATTTCAAATTTAAGGCCAGAGTAGCCAAACTGAAAGCTATGCTGATCTCATCTATTTTGATCTTAAATTTGAAATTTACTTTTGAATTTCATTCTAAAATTTGAAATTCACTTTGAATTTACATAAGTAAGTAACTTTGTAATCGTGTAATATTGCCAATACAATTATATTGACTGTGTTGATGAAAACTAATCCCATTTACTCCTGCAGTCAGCACAATGGTATTTACCCCCCAGCAGGTTTTTCATGCTGAACTTTCCAACATATATCATTTGTATTATTCATTTGTTAGTTGTATATTATGTTTTTGTTTTCATAGAAGACGATATTGACACTTTTTTGTTTCCATTTGGCCTATTAATGGCTACACATCCCTGAGTCCTCTACAATATAATTACATAGTTACATAGCTAAAAAGAGACATGCGTTCATCAAGTTCATCTTTTCACACATCTGATTTTGCCTTAGATCCAAAAAAGGCAAAAAAAAAACAAAAAAACAAACAAACAAACAAACAAACAAAAAAACAGTTTGAAGCGCTTCCAATTTTGCAACAAACTAGGGGAAAAAAAGTCCCTCTTTACCTGGCAATCAGGTATCTCATTGGATCAAGAAGCAATTACTCCACTAATTAAAAATGATATCCCTGAATATTATTTTGCCAAAATGTATCCAATTGCTGTTTAAACATCTGTACAGACTGATAAAACTACCAATTCAGGCAGATAATTCCACATCCTTATTGTTCAAACTGTAAAAAAGAAATTCCTTTGCCTTAGACTAAATCTCCTTTCTTCCAGTCTAAATAAGTGACCTCATGTCCTATGTATAGTTCTGCTTATGAATAAAACACATTAACAGAGTTATTCACTAAACTAATTTTGCACATTCGATAACAGAGGGAAAAAAAAGCTAATCTGGAAAAATTCTCCACAAATTCTCCAATTTGGACATACTCATACCTTGTCAATGTAGATGTAGGGTTTAATAAATAAAACATATGCAGTTCCAGAGAATTAAAAGCATAACTATATAACCCAACATTTTCACAAAATGGCAGATCCTCTAGGAGACAGTAATATGTTTCTTAAAAAAGTAGAGCGTGCATACCATTAACCAGCTGCATGTTATTTTAAATAACAAAAAAGTTACCATATTCAATTTTAAAATAAAATGCTATTAATTAAAATATACATCCACACTGCTGAATACTAACGTATTACCCATTCTGCTATCTCTGTATGCCTACTGCCAGAAATGTACATGCTAGTATAACAAGACTGCTGTGTGAGAGCTGTAGATCTATAACCATCTTCTGTTTGAACAAATCAGGGAATATTTAACTGTTGATGGTAAAGCATGTTGTCTTTCTATTTACTAGATAATATTTTTTGGGTTTTATTATGCAATCTAATCCCTGCATCAATGTTATGTTTAAAGGTACTCTCCAGTGCCAGGAAAACAAACCGTTTTCCTGGTACTGCAGGTCCCCTCTCCCCCCACCCACCATCCCAAGTTGCTGAAGGAGTTAAAACCCCTTCAGTGACTTACGTATATCCAGCGCCGATGTCCCTCGGCACTGGGTCAGGGTCCGCCCACGCTGCCTGAAAGATGTGGTGGTCCCAGGGGCCACTGGTGAAGAGAAAGATGCAGCAGTGGGACAGTTCTAGCCTGTTCCTGTTACACTACCTACTGAGAATAAATGTGTGGCTATGGCATAATATATCTGCAAGCTTTCTCAATGAACTCTCCCTACCTTTACACACAGCACAGTTAGGGAGCATTGATCATGTGTCAGCAAACGAACACAGACATGATAGTCAAGCCTCCAAACATGGGTAGGACTTAGGGGTAAGGAAGCATACTCAGGCAAACATAGTGTCAGGAATGGAGCTACCATAACAAGTTTAAAAACTTAAAGGAAACAGTAAAGGAACATGTATCGGTCCTTAGAGTGGCCGGGATAGTGCCTAAGACAGATAAATAAAATATCTGCAAACAGACAGAGAATAAACGAGAGATAGTTTGAGATCTAGGATAACACAGAGACTCCAAATTAATAGTCAGGCTCAGGTCAGGATAACAGAGAGTAAGAATAGTCAAACAAGTTGAGGTCAGAAAACAGTAAATCCAAAACAGACTCTTCGGTAACAAGAACCACAACAGAGCAAGGAAACAAGGACCACCAAGAAGGATATATTCCTTATACTGGGTTATGATTAGTTACAGATAATCATGATGTCACAAATGTGTTTACATCATGAAAAAGCACCACAGAGACTGATATTGTAAAAAGAGATCGATGGAAGGGTTCCATGTCATATATGATGTCATAATGAGGCTCCAGGAAGCTAGGGATGAGTGGATATGCATTACAACTCAGAAGAGACTTATTTTCTGTCACAGCATGGCACAGCGAGGGACAGATATATTGACATATAGGCCTTTACAGAGCCAGTCGCAGTGCCAACCCTTTGGCAGTAATGGTTTGTTAAAGAGGCTGGAAACCTCAATGGGAGGGTCACCCTGTGCGCCAAATTGCTCAGAATGTATTTGTAATAGGGAATCCATTCTATTTTTGACATTTAAGATTGAACCAAATATTACTATCGGATCCTAATAGGGTTTAACAGTTTACATGCCTGAAGCTGAATGAAGATATAGTGCTTTCTTTTATATATTTTTGTAATTATTATTTCTGGCAATACATCCAATGCATTAAGACCCATTTTATACATTCTGCATCTAAGAAGGTAAGTTGCTATCTATGTATATATATATATATATATATATATATATATATATATATATCTTGATCTAAAAAGAAATCCCGTAGTGGGGATTAAATAGCAGTATAGTTTCAATGTAAAGTGGTTGTTTTTATGTTTGGAAGCTGAAACATAATCTGTAGAGACAAATTTAAGCTAATGTGTGGCACTCTGTATGCCTCTCTTCTTAAAGAGACATTATAGCCACCCAGACCACTCCATCTCATTGAAGTGGTCTGGTTGCAGTGTCCCTGTCCACTTGGCCCTGCGATGTAAAACATTCATAAACATTCATTCATAGAAACTGCAATGTTTACATTGCAGGAATGAGACTGCCCACAGTGTCTGTATACAGGGCCGGCGCTACCTGTAAGGCGGACTAGGCAGCCGCCTATGGCGCCCCTTGGGAAGGGGCGCTGCCAGGAGCGCCGGCCCCCTCATGCTGCAGCCGCCCAAGCGCTCTGTAAAGAGCCTCAGGCGGCTGCAGCTTTTCCCGGGCGGTGCGTCCATGAGGGCGGACCGCACCGCCCGGGCGCAGCATGGGGAGAGGGGCTGACAGGAGGAAGCGCTGAGCGCTCCCACCTGTCAGCTCCCTCTCTGTAGCGTGGCCGAGCCCTCTATGGCATGGTCCGACCGGTACAGAGAGCAGCTGTCTCCTGTACCCGGCCGGACTAACAGGAAGTGAACAC